ATTCTATTAAATCAAATTAGATAACACAGAGTATTTACAGTATAAAAATTTAATTACTTTGATATAACAGTAACTGTTTTATATATAATAAAGAAACAAATTAAAAGATACAAAGAATTTAATTTTAAAAATACTCAAAAAGATTTGTAAAAAAATACAATTTCAGGTTTTAGAGAAAATGAAAAAGAAAGTAACTTTAATGAAAAAAATTCTTATAATATTAATGAAAATTAAATTTGTTCAATTTTGTAAACGGTAGACAAATTCCTTTTATCAAGGATACCACACATGAAAAAATCCAGAAGTAAAAATAAAAAATATAATTTAATTGAACATGACTGATGTTTATATAATTATTATTTTTTTAATTATATTTTTTCAGTTATTATTAATATGTTAAAAAATTGTAATAAAGATTATTCATCAATTATAATTAATGTACTTATAACTTCATTATGTTAATGTTTACATATCTTTTCATTGCTTATTTAATTCTATTTTTATATTTGCCGAAATCATTCGTCTTTATCAATGATTAAAATATTCAACGCTAATCGATTACAAGGATGTTAAATGTAATAGTTTACGACGTGATTTAATAAGATAAGCACCTTTAAGTGACACGTCAGATTGTTTGACGATAGAAAAGGTGATTAAATGTGATAATTATTCGCATGATTTAGTGGAACATATGTGGTCTTCGAATCATTTATACATTTCATAAATTTATTGTATTATCTTACAAATAGATTTCTGATTTATTTCTTCAATTAAGTACAATGATTTGTTAAGAATAATATTTAGATTCTATATAATCAGAAAATGGAAATGTGGTTGTAAGTTAAATGTTATACATTAAATAAAATTATTTCTATTTCTGTATTTGTAATTTTATTATTATTATTCCTTTCGGAAAGATGCAATTTTTCATTTGCAATATGCAAAACTTAATATTGTCCGCAAGAAAAATTTATTTAAATATCGTTTACAGCCCAACCTACAGATATGATATATTAATTTAATATATGTACTTCTTTCTTAACACAATAATTAAACATTTCACTCAATAACACTTAATTTCAAAGTACTAATAAGCATAAACGATTTTACCTTTCCAATCCCTTGGACCCTTGAAAACTCTCTACAGACGTATTGGGAGTCCGTGGACCTCTGGTAAAAAGAACCACTGTTCTAGATAAATTGTCTTCGACAATGACATTAGAAAATTATTTGAAATTATTTATAAAATGTACAGATTTAAAATAGTTATAAAGATATTCTTTCTATGACGAATTGTCTAAATTTTAGAATTAGAATTTATTGTTATAATAATAGTATACTCAGTAGCTATTTGTTGTATAATTCGATTTGGGAGGATGGTTGAGAGTAAAAGGTTTTCTGTATTCGCCGATCCACGTTTAAATTTACTTCAGATTATGAGTTTACGTACGTGACGTGAACAGAACAATAATGTTCATACTCTTATTAGTCGGATGGAAGAACTTCATTGATAATCAACTTACAACAAATTGAGAAAATTGAGATTATTCACGTAACTATTATATGCTAATATTTGGAATTGTGAAATGCTAATTTACATTGCTCGATTTAAATAGACGTGACACGTCTATTCAATTGTCAAACAATCTATAATGTCATTATCGAGCAAAGTAAATTAGCATTTCACAATTCAAATTTCATTTTCCATATTTTCAAGAAGAAATTATAAATATTTCAATTTTAAACTAAAAAGTCTCACAATTTTAGAATCTTTAAATTGATTGGTATTTTTAATATTTATTTTTAAAAAATTAAAAAACTGGCAACAGATTAAATAAGTTATATCAATTAAATTGAAGTTAGAATTGTTTTCATCGTAATGCCAACGACCTTTTAAGTTTAGTAAAGTTTAAAAAGAAAAATTATTTTTTAATTCCAATAAGTAACATAGATCTACGTAATGGTAATGTTTTTGAATTTCTTTTTAAATTTTATACAATATATAACTTAATTTCGAATTTACATGATAAATGCCAAATAGTATCAAGTTATTGTATAAACATTTCCTAATTTAATAAACGTTGAAAAAATGAATACATTTTTTTTAATGTTCAGAAAAGTTTGAAAAACTTTTTGTGTTTCATATAATGTATATTTTATTAATTTTTTAAAAGGACTTTTAACTTTGTTGGCTATCAGAGGAAATGATACGAGTAACTGTTAAGTAAATTACTTTACTAAAAAGTTTAAAATTATTTACTCCAAGTTTTACATTAAGATTTTCTAAATTAGTTCTCACGAAACGAAAAATAAATTTCCGGAAATGTAATTTTTATCCTATGGAACTTAATTTCCTAACCTAAAAATAAAATTATCACGTATGCTGTTTTCATATATTTTTAAAATGTTTTTAATAGATAACACTTAATTTTGTTGGTAATTAGAAAAGTTATTCGAGTATAAATAAAGTTTAGAAGAGAATACTTCGTATGATATAATTATAAATCATAGATTTAAAAAGATATTGATAAAATTATATGTCTTTCAAATGTTTTGATCTATACAATAATTAAACAATACTTTTATCAATGTTAGGAAATTTTTTCGACGTGTTTATAAAACACTATCTTCAAGTACAGTAAAACCTGCCCAAAACGAAACCTGTTCTGAACGGAAATCTGCCAAATCGGGAAAATATTCGGTATCATGCAATTACGGTTTACTCAGATTTTATTGTACAGTATATAGGCTATATTGTTACAATTCAATGAGAATATTGTAGTAATTCAAATTATTTAAACTCTCTTTTGAACCAAATTAAATTAAGAAAATCACCTGAAACAAAAGTATAAATTTGAAATGGAACACAACAATGGAACATCTTTCATTTATAAAAACTTGGTAATAAGAAACGAAGTTCGCAATCTTGTCTTCTCAATCTTTTGTCAGATTTATCCTATATATTGAAAGCATATGTTCTACTGAGAGAATTGACTTCTTAGTTTACATCTTTCTCTCTCTCTTGCTCTTTGTATGATCATAGTACGGGAACCGAAATAATTAGCCATTTAGGATTCCGTAATTGATTACCATTTAAGTTGAAGTCTATGTATGAGGATCATTTATGGCATCTGGTTTGCTTCCATGAGAATTCTTTCTTTAAGAATATTAACAATTTGCATAAGACAAACTAAACATAATAGAATTTAATTATACCTAAACATTCCAATGAAACAATTTAGTATTTGTCATTACTTTTTCTCAACTCTTTAATGATAAAGGCTTGTTTCTATTGAATACATCGGTTCTCTTTAGTGATCTGAATCACAAAAGCTACTCAGCGAGGGAACTCGACAGGGGACTTTGATCAAAGATCACACGGATTTACCAGCTGATGTTATCTAACTCCTAAAGCCTGGTTGCTTTGACTGATTTCAAGTCCGAACTGAAAGATTCTGTCGTCAATCTCTCTTGGGTGAGTTGGATATCCTGGTGTAAAACGAAGCCAAATCAAGAAAAACCAACGAAGCAATGACCGTAGAAAAAGCTTAAAAAAGAAAAAGAAGAGAATTTTTCAGCTTCATAAAGTTTTCCTGTTTAATTTTAAAATTATAAATAAAGATAATGTGTAAACTGAAGTATCAAATTTACATTATATTGATAAATATTATACGATATATTGAGTAAAAAGAAGATTAAATTTTAAATTTCTTAAACTTAAAATTATATGTCACATATAATTTATTGAATTTTTCAAGAAAACTGTCATCTATATAAAAAATAAATCTGTTTTTGAGATAAACATTTCATATCTTTTGTTATTTTTAACACGAAATGGGATAAAATATCTAAAAATACTATCGATATCCCAATTCATATTATTGATCGAATTGTTGAACCTTACAAGACGCCATAGAATTGACTAGTAACATGCACAAATAATCTTTCAAGTACTGTACATTATAGTGACGATCGTTAAAAACAATGTTATGGGCTTTGTTTTTATTTCTCCTGTTTCTTCAAAATTTCAGATAGATTTTTTTCCGTTATCTTAAATTTTATATAAAATTTTTTCGAGTTTTATATTTCAAAAAAATATTTATTGCTTTACGTTACATAGGAACATTGATTATATAATTTAATAATAATAATGTATTAAGTTCTCAATGATTTTCGGAAATAATTGCATGTGATATATTACAAATTCAAAACAATTAATAATTATAAACAAGTACTGTTAATAATATTCTCCAGTGGTCGAGTGAATGAAACCACTGTGCAGTCGTAGAGACCTGGCCAAGGTGCTGGCACGAACCCACGGTTATCTACCAAGCCAAAACCAATAATATCAGAAACGAAGTATTTACAAAAATCAATTGCATATTATTTGACAATCGGAATAAAATTTCATAGTCAGAA